TCGTAGCCTCCAGCTAGCCGGTCTCTATGTTTTCAGTTTAAAAAGTGGATTCTCTTTCCTCTGACTAGCAGGTATTTTCCACTCAAATGACATACTATCTTCTGAGTCAGAATGCTATCTACAACCAATCCTAGTTCTAGGCAGAGAAACACAGAAGCCTTTTTCATGTCAATACTAGTCACATAATTTCATTCACACACACACACACACACACACACACACACACATTTTAAAATCTTGATCTCTAATAAAATTACTTGGAAGAATAACTTTCTGATACAAATGCCATAAAATTAATGTTTAGCTACAGGAAGAAAAATGGTAAGACCATGAAAAATCCCACCCAGTAAGAGTTACATGCTGAAACCATAAACCTTGCTTACCGGACTACTTTGTAAACCAGCCATTTGTGAACAATTGCTTTAAATCATCATGCCATTCATTATCCTGAAAAACACGATAATGGAATGCTCTATCTCCCCAAAGTCTGCTCACTGTAAACAGTCCATCCCTCCTTGTGGACTCCAAAAGCTGTATAAACATACTGCAATCAAAACCACCATAGCTCACAGAAATCCTTTCTTTAAGTAATCTACAGAATGCCAATCTAATACAAATACAAGAAAGAGAAGTTCTTACTAACACAATATTTTGTATATACAGTATTCTGAACAGTGCTTAAACCTGCACTGGTTATATAAAAGACACTCCCACACGCCACCTCCCACCCCAGGCTGACAGCGTGCTTAGTTCTCTCATTTACACCACACTGCAATAACATAAAGAGGGGCTTACTATTAATCCAGGTTTTACTACAAAGCAACCCGTTATTTCTCTGTCAAACACTGGCAAGAGTGCCAAGTGTCTGTCATCCAATTCGAGGGATTAAGTCTTCTTTTATAGTCTGATACTTGTACCAATTTATAAAAATACAGATATAGTTTCTTAGAGTTGATCACAGTCTATATTTTGGCTTGGATTCAGGCAGCAGAGGTTGACTATGACAGCTGGCAGGAAACTGAGGGGAGAATACATCCTCCCCCTTCAGTCACCACATCTCAGTTGCCATAGTGATTAATCCTTAATTGAAGGCTGTCTTTGTACATTTCTTTTCAGAAAATTTTAAGTAAACTTAAGTTGAAAACGTGCAGTTGACTGAGAAAAGGAGGTACCGCATCACAAGCAGGTACAGTTCAGCTCCGTGACATACATCCAGATATTAAAAGAACAGATGAACTCTAATAAAGGTATTATCAGTTCCTTCAAATGCTAAAATGCTTCTTTTTGGCCTGAGTTTAAACCTAAGTCACACAGGTTTTCTCTCCTGTTATCAGACATCTCATCTTGTAAAATGAGCTGTTTTCAGAAATGGTTCTAAAATATCAAAATATAATTTTAGGCAAAATGTGTTCTTACTTTGCACATTACATAATTTGTATTATCAAATAACAATGGTATAATTTGAAATTTATGTTAGGAGAGAAAGGACATCTATAAAATACAGAACATAAACAAAAGCTAATTTATAAAAGTATAAACTATAAGAAGCCAAAGGAAACACTGAAAACAGTAACGTATCTTACTCCTTTTTAAGATATATAATTGAACTTGAAAAGTAGATTCACAGTTTTTGTCATTTTGGTTATCAATAATTACCAGACATCAAAAAGACTGAAAAACTCTGAAAGACCATAGAATCTTATCTAGGATTATGGAGTTTATTACTTCTCTTTTACAATTTTCCATTCAGTATATTCCTTTGCAATCTAGTTAAAGGTTCTAATTCAGACTCAACTATGGTATTCCTTAGAAACTGAAATACTGGTATATTGTGACAACTGTTATTTGTGTACTGATTTCATAAAACAAATAGGATTTATTTTCTTACTGAGATAACATGTCTGCAACTGACACACAGGTATGCACACACAATCTTTTCAAACACAAGTAAAGTTCTTTAATAAAACTTTGATGACAGACATGAAGCACTCAGAAGAATTCTCAGTAACCAAAAAGATTCTAGATTAAGCCCCAGATGAAAGATACTGTACTGTCGGTGGGAGGTCTGGGGTTTTTTAGAGACTTCAGGATCAAGAAGTTTGCAGGTATTTTCTAACACTATGATTGAGTCTCTTTTGTTCTTGCTTCATTTCCCTTTCCCTTTGTTTATTCTCTTTTCTTCTAGTAACTTTTTTTTTCAAAACTGCAACTTCACTATTGCCACCCAGTGCCACACCCAGTGCAAACCTCTCAGTGAGTGACATAAGTATCGCTAGCCAAAGATGACGGTGTGTTTCAATGATTTCATCATTCAAGGTGCTGAAGTAATATTGACACGATAGGATGAAATCAGTGATTGGGAACACTTTTTCTCAGAAATTCTATGAGACAGCTTTGAAATGTTAGAATGAAATTTTGCTGTATCAATTACTGACTTAAGTCAGCCAGTGAAATGAGCGTTATCTGTAGACTGTGTTTGGCCTGCTAGCATTGGTGCCATGGGAATGGACCTCCCATTTAGTGGCTTTAAAACTTCACCACAATTTAGTTATTAAACAGCTAATTTCTTTCTTCTCTGAAAAGGGTTTACTAAGTTGGTGTATGTGTGATGAGGGATATATATGGCCTCGAAGGGTATATTATAACCCTCAGGGAGTAGGTATTCCAATTTGTTTCCTAGCAAGAGATGCCCCTCCCTCTGAAAAATCACTATGAAGAAGCAAGGTTTCTAATGAGATTGTGTTGTCCACCTCAAAAATATTTGGACTGAAAAAGCTCACAGGCAAACTGTGTTTCTGGCATTTTCATTTGTACAACTTTCCTTAAGAAGAAGGCTGCTTCTCAGGTCAATTTTTGCAGAAATTATATGCTTGTAAATTTCTTCTCTGATAAATATTTAGACAAACTAATGACCAGTGTCCAATTATTTCATTAATGTTCACTACAGGGATTTGCCAAATTATCTGACCTTTCACATTAAAATTTGTTTGTATGGAGAAGGTTTTTAAAAAGGGCACAGTTTGAAAAAGAATCCTAATGAAAAATTAGCTATCTGTTTAGAAGATTCTGGTTTTTTTTTTTTTTTTTTGAGACGGAGTTTCGCTCTTGTTACCCAGGCTGGAGTGCAATGGCGTGATCTCGGCTCACTGCAGCCTCCACCTCCTAGGTTCAGGCAATTCTCCTGCCTCAGCCTCCTGAGTAGCTGGGACTACAGGCACGCACCACCATGCCCGGCTAATTTTTTGTATTTTTAGTAGAGACGGGGTTTCACCATGTTGACCAGGATGGTCTCGATCTCTTGACCTTGTGATCCACCTGCCTCAGCCTCCCAAAGTGCTGGGATTATAGACGTGAGCCACCATTCCCGGCCCATACTCTTTATCCTAACAAAGCAAGTTTCTGGAAAACCTAACATAATTCTGCCTGCCTTTTTCAGATGGCACATACACAGTAGTCAAACTGTAAAATGCTGTTTAAAGTGTTGGTTGAGAAATGGTACATTCCTGGATCAAATGAGAAGACAAGTACAAAAAGCAGCATAGTTGGGTCATGAAAGAATGCTTTCACGAGTTGTAGTTTGGCATTCGGCCTATGGATGACATTGAAAAATGCTGGAAATTATAGCCTTTTAAAGTCTGTTATTACATTTATTCTAAGGATATTATTATATGACATCTGACTGTTCAGTATATCGTTCTGTGGTCCCAAAAAACCCTCAAGAGACAAATTTCCTTCAAATTAAGTGCTAGGAAAAGCTTTGCTCCTCCTAGAACCCATGCTATTTTTTTTTTTCCTTAAGGATAAAGATTTTACTCAGCCTTTCTCAGCAGGGTGTTATGGCATTTTGGGCAGAACAATTCTTTGCATGTAGGAGTGCCTCTCTACTAGCCCCTCAACCTAGTCCCCTCTCCAGGATAGCCATGTGGAATCCCTGGCTTCCAGACATGAATGCCAGTTAGGCACTCAGTCACTGTGACCACCCAAACTGTCCACACACATTTCCACACGCATGAGTTGAGAAATCACTACATAGATGGCTTACCTCCTTTGTTTTTTCTACCAGAAAACTCAATCAAATTAGCCATTTTAATACAGTATCTGGGTAGAATGTATTATGTCCTAAGCAGTTGCAGTCTAACTTTCTCCCAGTCTTAAACTTCCAGTTTGATTTATATTTTCTCTGGTCCTGAATTTCATTTTGTACTCTGGTTTTATTGTTAAGGTAATTTAATTCCTTTGTCAAACAAGTGAGGTACAAATAAATTAATTCCCTTGATAGTTCAGAGGAATTCTACCCCCACCTTCATTATTAAAAGTATAATAGCACTAAGTTGACATAAAATATTGGTATTATATACAACATGCATTTTGAACTCTCACCCATAAAATGATAGTAAAATTGCTCTTGAGGCACTTAGCTCTTAAAAAATGATAAAGAATAATAAGTCAAACAGAAGAAAAATTTTTTAAAAACCTTTGATGAAAGTGACTATGTATAAACAAAAATATCATAACAGCAATTTTAAGTGAGAAGAGCCCACAGGAAGTATTTATGACTTTCAACAGTATAAAAATCCTTTTGCTAAAAATATAAATTCTACATGAAATGAGTTTTCTGTGTGTGTTATTTTGGTGAAAAATTGTGGAGCAATCTAATCACACACTTTCCTTTTTACATATGAGCAGAAATGGTTTTGGTTCTGATTGAACTATATGATTCCCTCAGATTCCTTTTCATTTTGGGGGTACTGTCCAATTTTTATTGAGGGAAACTATTAAGCAACTCAACATTATTAGGCATTTGGGTATAAATTTGTTGTTTAATCTAAAACATCTTCAATGACTACAGTTCCCAAATGGTGTTTTGATTTTTACACTTACTTGCATGTCACTTACAGCTTTAGTAGCTACTTTGGAGGGAGTATTTAGAGAAGATGCTATTGAGTAAATTCTGTAAAAAACGAGGTAACTAAGATGATACTACCTTATATTCTTCTTACCTTAGAACTGCAAACAGCTATGTTAGCAGGCAGCTGGGAAAACTGCTTCAACTCAAATACATCATGTGCCGCCCATCGGCTCATGTGATTTTCGGCTTTGCTCGATCCAATCACATTCTGGTTTGAGTGAATATAAGCCACTTCCTGAACACCATCTAGGAGGTAATTGAGGTTTATTAAGTGATATATCATTATAAAGCAATATGGTTCCATAAAAACACATTATTTTTAATACTCAAGAGAAACATCAACATCACAATATTCTTTAGGGAAAAAATGGGAAAGAGAAAGAGTTCAAATATGTTGGTCTAGGTTACCTTGGAAATGACTTTTCCTTCTCATCAATGTGAGATGAGAACTAGATAGTAGGTAACAATCTTTAGATTTAAACTTGAAATGGAGGTTTTAGTAAGAGAAAAGTGATGGTTGAGGAGGGTCCTCTATGAATTTGTTTTCATTGTTAATTTTAAAAAAAAGTTGCTCACTCATTTAAAGAATGAAGCTAACCTTATCTGTCCCTTTAAACATGTACTTGATTACAGCAATGGAAAGGGAGCATGGGGTTTATGACCAGGGAGTTTCGTTTGATTGGCTTTGCTCAGTTTTATTGTTTGTATTTTGTCTTTTTTGTACATATGCCCAGAGAATGTCAAGATGAGAGCTTTTTAGGAAATGAGAAAAATTAACTCAAAGCTTTTATCTAAAAGAGGTTTAAAAAATGGCTACAATTTTTATTGCTTTGCTTCTAGGTACCCATAATTCATTTTTGAATTGTGATCATAAAAGAGAAGGCTAGAATCGAAGCCTGTAAAAGCTCCCTCCAACAGCTCTGGCAATGAACCTGAGGTATGACCTTCAACACTTGTGTTGTTTCAGTACTGAACCTCTTCAACCAGAAATTGCTAATCATGCAAACATAAGACATTGTTAAATAATATGAAGAGATAGTAACTAGTTGAACATTCTCCTTAAATTTCAAGAGGCCACATAATACACATGGCACATAGTTTCAAAACCTTCATGGCAGAAAATTTCCTCGGATGTTTAATTTTGATGACACATTTTATCCATTATTCAAAATAGCATTAGTTCCAAACTACTGACACTTTTCACAGTAAAAAACAAAAAGCAAAAACCCTGAGCTGATTATTTAAAATAGTTTATACAATAATTCCTAAACCTAAAATCTAACTGTAGCACACAAACCAAAGGGCTAATTCAATACTTATTTACAATGATACCAAAATATATATCATAACTAACTTTTAAATAAGAATACTAATAGCCACAAAGAAAGCCTGATTTATATATAAATCAAACAAAGCAACTAAGATTTCTATAGCAAAATATCCTAGATTATATCTCAGCTTCTTTCATATAGTTTTTGGGGAATAAGCCAGACACTTGTGAAGGTAATGCTAACTCTTAAAATCACCACACAGATTCTGGGCAGAGGGTGGTAACAGCAGAAGCAGGAGACCCTCTGAATCTGTACACAAAAACAGACAGCAACTACACAACAAAACCAAAAGCCCATGGACATTTACAACAAAATTAGATAACAAGATATCCTCATGACCCCTAAAGTATAAGCAGGTGGGCAAAATCTACCAGTAGCTATGAACTCTGCATGGTTTCAGCAACTGTGTGAAGGAATAAGGAAGCAACAGGGCTCCTGACCGACCTGAGAACAGGAGACCCCAGAATAGCCAATAGGTATTCACTGGAAGCACAAGGGACCAGCTGGAGACCAGCAGCTGAATCGGTGAAGGTTTCCTGCTCTCCAATGCTGAGAGGGTGCAGGGGGTACACAGTAAGAAGACCTGGAGGGGCTGGAGCAAGCCAAACCTCTAAAGCTCCCCAAACTGACCCACCAGGGCCCTCACCCAGGTCAGGGCCCAACAAAGAGGAAAAACGGCTGGGAGTGAATCAAGGATAGGAAGAACAAGGATGAAGGAAAGAAAAGATCTACAGCAATGCAAGGCAGAGAGAGAGAGGAAAGCCCACCATAGTGTGGCACTCTACACAGAAATAACATGGATCTCTGTAAAGTGAACAAAGATTTCCTGAACTCTGCTTCATTTGTAAAATTCAGGGAAAATAATTTCATATAAAAATGACCAGAAGAAAAATAGCAGGGTGAAATCTCATAAAAATTATTGTGAGAAAAAAAGAGAACAGGCAGAATAATATCCCTCCAATGAAAATGTGCAAGAAAGATGTGCTCGTAAAACAGAAAAAGACATGAATCAACAAAATGTAAATAAGAATTAGAGGAACTCAGAAATGAGTGACAAGGACTTAGGAAAGACTTAGAATTTTTTTTTAATTTAAAAAATGAAGACCAAACTAGAAGAAACATAAGAGGGAATAAACACAACAGATAAGCCTTAAGAAAAATAGAACATTTTAAAAAAGCAAAATGAAATGAAGAGATAAAAGATTTGAGAGAATGTGACAACTGAAGACAGGCAAAGACGACTGAACATCTGAGTAAGAGGAGTCCCCGAGGAAGCAAGCCAAAGCAAAGGAACAGAACAAGTAACCAAAAACATTAGCACAAGAAAGTCTTTCCCAAAAGAAAATTTGAGTGGAAGCAACACTGTGTATATGAGAATACAGACCCAGGGTAACCAACATCAACACACAATCTAGTAAAATTACTGGACAATGAAAAGAAAAAAAAAATCCCCTGGTAATCTAAGGAGGAAAAAAAAAAAAAAAAAAAGAACATATAATACCACACTTTATGCCAGAAGAAAACGAAGCTACATATTTCAAGACAATCAAGAAAAGACAATGTGAGCCAAGTATTTTACATCCAGCAAAACTTAACTTTTAAGTATAAGGGCACCAAACTGTTATTGTAAGAATCTCAGGGAATATTATTCTCATAAACACTTCTTCAGGAATCTACTAGACAGTAAGATTCGGACAATCAGAGTGATGCAAGGACCACTGACACTAAGGACTGATGGGGTGCATGAAATGTGCAGTTACCTACAGACCAAGAGTAACTGAAGTGTAAGTGGGGAGAGTATATGATACAAAGTCTGTGTCTTGGACAGTGTAGTGTATCCATTTTAAAAATGGAAGAAAAGGGAGAGTATAGGCAAAAGCAAACTCTAAATGTCGATCTAGTCTCAGGAACCAACTGCTCTTTCGCAGGTAAGAGGACAGAGGAGCATGTTTTAAACATGGATGGAGAGGATACAATTAGCAAAATGAAACCTGAGGGAAATTTCTAGTTCATCCAGGTACTTCCACAGTTACATTGTAAGGCAATGAAAGGGATCAGGATTCCTGTAGATTAGAAGTTACTATAAAACATTTTAAAAAACGAATGAGACTAAACCATAATTCCTAGTGATATGGTTTGGTTGTGTCTCCACCCAAAACTCATCTTGAATTGTAGTTCCCACAATTCCCCATGGGTCATGGGAGGAACCTGGTGGGAGGTAACTGAATCTTTCCCATGTTGTTCTCATGATAGTAAGTCTCACGAGATCTGATGGTTTTATAAAGAGGAGTTCCCCTGCACAAGCTTTCTCTCTTTGCCTGCCACCATCCATGTAAGACATGACTTGCTCCTTGCCTTCTGCCATGATTGTGAGGCCTCCCCAGCCATGTGGAACTGTGAATCTATTACAAGCTTTTTCCTTCCCAGTCTCAAGTATGTCTTCATCAGCAGCGTGAAAACGAACTAATTCACCTACATATGAACATTTGGTGATATAACCATATAAATGCAAATAAGTAATTACTATAGAAGCTAGAATAATTGGCATTCATGAGGGCAGAGGAGCTGTGATTTGGACAGGCACATGGAGGGGGTCCTTGGGTAGATGGCAGCATTCTCTATCTTGACCTATATGTGGTCTCCCATTTATCCCGCTACCCAGCCCTTCCTTATTTATGTCTCAGTCCAGCATCTTGATTCAAAGTTTCTCACAGAACTATTTAATAAAACATAATTTTAAAAGTTTTCATAATATGTCTTTGGTTACCTAAAAATTTATCCATTGATTCACAGGACTGCTCTTTATTGACAGCTTTCTCATTTGAACATTTCATTGGTTTTCTTGGCATCAAAGTGCTATTTTTCTTATTTTGGCTAGGCAATTTTGAAGAAAAACTGGTTCTATTTTTTATAGTTCTTGATCTGTGGCTCTGTTTAGAGAAACTGAAGTGGCTGACAGATAAACTCTCATCTGAGGATGAATAATCACCAATAAATTGAGAGTTATGATCCTCATCTGTTGCATATACTTGGTTTGTTTTGTTCATTGTTTTAGGAAAACTGTGAAGTTCTTTCCTGGTTTCCTTTCTTCTCTTAAACCTCAATGAACTAGTAACTCTCTTTCTTACTCTTGACTTGGAAGAAATCTCAATGTCATCAGATTCATCACTGATATCACTAGTGACTTTTCTTTTCACAATAGATCTCAGGGTTGTGTTCTCAGGACTTAACTTTTTTGAAATTATTCCATCTCTTCTGTCATCAGTCTTTCGACCATCATCATCATTTCTTCTTTTTACAGAGTGTTCTGTTTCAGAATCCTCAGATCCCTCCAAGGGTGGCTTAAATCTTATACTATTGTCAGGGAATCTCTCAGTTGTATATTGTGTAGGATAGATGACATCACTATCTTCTGATTCTGAGACATTCTGTAAAATGCAACGTTTATCTGTATTTTTAAATTTTTTCTCATCAGACTTAGAAGAAATATTCTGTTTTAAAATCTTCTCATTTTTATAAAAAATATACTTTTCTTTTGGATTTAGGATGTTATCTATTTTCTGATGTTTTGAAGTACCAAGAGAGTCCTGATTTTTCTCACAATCAGCAACTGTGGCTTCTGTTGAAAGGCATATGGGCTGCTCATCAGAACTTTCCTCATCAGAAGCAGTATTTCCATCACTGTCCTCAACTGCTTTACATTTTGCCTCAAACAATTTCGAGAAACCACACTGGAGTAAAGTAAGCTGTCCTGGAGAGGTGGAAGCTTTACTTGGATCAGGTGCTTTGTTTTTGGCAGTCTGTACTCCTGCAGCTCCCACTGATTCTTCATCACTGAAGTCGCTGCAGAAATCACACGCTTCCTTTGCCAGTGGCTCTGTAGCTTGTTCTGGACCTCTGCATTCCTGAGAGTCAGACTCTGTAGGCTATAGAAGAAGCAGTGATAAAAACAGCAGAAAACCTCAAGATAATAATAAAGAATCAACTGAAAGGCAATCAACTTTCGGCAGGTAATTTAGGTACAAGTATATCACTTAGTATTTTCTAAAAGTAGAACATTTAATAAATAAATGTAAAGCATTTAATATCATAGTCTAGTACAGTCTTTTCTCTTTCCATGCTGAATATTGTTCCAAAATACATAAAAGTTTAAACTAGAGTACCATATATAATCAAAGTATTTTGAAGAAAAACAAAGAGAAGTGTTTGGCTTCTAAGATACAAGGACACATAATTCTGGCCTCAAAAGTGAAAAGCACACAACTTGCTGCTTAAGAATTACTGGAGTTTACTGTAGTCTAGCATATACTTCCAATCATGCTTTAAGAATAAGACAGATTACAGGAGTTAACAAGGTAAAGAATTGATAATTGGAAAATTGTTCCAATTGATTTAAAAGGCCAACAGGATCTTGATCACAAGAAATAAAGAATCGTGAAATAAAATTTGCTACAAATTTAAATTCAATATGTAATTTTCCCACAATAATCAGAGTTAAATATATCTTATAGTTTTCTAAAACTGAGGCACTACTAGTAAAAGATTGTGGGAAAGTATCATCTGGTAATACTTTTGCCAATATTTGATATTTGTGTATTTCTCTAAATTTATAAAAATTTCACCCCAAATTTAAAGTCATTGGGCTGGTATAAATTGATAGTTAATACTCTACAAGTAAACAAGAAAAAACCAGCAACATTAACAAAAAAACCTTCGGCACATATTTTTTACCTTTAAGATGGCCTTATAATGACAATAAAGATTTTGTGGTACATGAGATGGCAAACTACTATAAAGATCACAAAATTGAGGAATCAAATCAAATAAAATATCCACTTTGAATTTGAGACCAATTTTGATATTTGGGTTTAATTATTTTAAATACACATTGATGGTGATTTTTCCATTTAACTTACCATTTAGTCAAAAATTGTTTATTGGCGATGGGTTACTTACCTAGGTGGTACTGTATTTTCAGTGTGGTATAGTTAAAATTCAGCTTAGCTGTAAATGCCTGAACTGCTCCTCAATTTGTTCTTATGATATGAATGTTAAATCAGCCTAAATTACTAATTTTATGCATAGTTCTCTGACTTTGTGTCCTTGACTCATTTTTTTTTTTCTTACAGGTTGAAAGGTGAAGGAAAAAGGAAAAGAAACAAAACTGTCACAGTACATGTTTTCTAGGTGTTGCAGGCTTCAGATTCAAATATTAACTTACCATTTCTAGTTTGTGTGCCGGAGGTCCCTCTTTCAACCACGTCGTGGCTGTCATGATCCCTGCTTCCACTTGGCCTTCTCTCTACATAATGTCAGTAAGAAAGAATGCAAATAGCTATGCAACACAGGGGGCAGCACAACCAGACAAACAGCAGCAATGCACGCTACAGCATTCTTAACGTTATTTTCCAACTTGCTAATCATATATAAAGGTTTATGTAACAGTTTAAAATACTCTTAATTCTTAAAGTTTACTTTATCAGACACAGACAACTAATACTTTCCAGCCAACTTCATTAAAAGTACTAATGGGGAGAGGGAGAATAAAGAACTGTTATATATTTACCCAATATAATATCCATAACAACCATTCCCATATAACAATTATGGTAAGAACATATTAACATTTCAAACACCACAATGTTAAATTGGAAACTTGATGTCCTAGCCTATATTGTTACTGTATTTCTTGTTCATATTCATTTCAAAATACCCCTTAAGTGTAGTACGTATCAAAATGAAAAGGTCCATCTAATATGAAATTAAAAACAATATTTTAGTTATATACCAGGTTTGCTACATCTTTTGGGAAGGTATTTGCACTTTAAAGCTTCTGGTGTATCATTTAGCAGAAGTTCTAATGGTCTAGATTCTAGAATATTAAATTCTCCTGAAAAGGAAATCAATTTTTTAAAGGCTGTATTTGTTGACAGAGCAAGGAGAAATAATACTATCATCACCAGAGTTACAAATGCCCAACTCAGGAATACACAGACATACTAATGGCATGGTTCCAGCCACCTGGTATCTAGGGCAATGAGGGAGAATCTCCTCTATGCAACTCTAGGGAATGATAAACAGTTTCTGAATTACTACCATTCCTTTATTCCCCATTCCTCGAGGCTATTACAGCAACGGGATGGGAAGCCTCATTCCCAGGCTACCATTTATCTCCATAACAAAAGCTAAATGGCTACAACAGGTGAAAGTGGCAGTATTAGAAATCTTAAAGCTGTTGAAACTCTTTTATAATAGATAAATGGCTACTCCAGTTTTAAGCTGCTCAGCCAAACATGTTGGAGCTATCCTTAACTCCTCTTTTTCTCATACCCTGTATGTGACCCACCAGCAAATGCTGTCAGTGCCACCTGGATAATATATACAGCATCCAGCCACTCCTCAACGCCACCCACCACTTTCATGCTGGCTCAAGCCACCATCATCTCTCAGCTGGATTACTGCAGTATCCTCATAACTGGCTTCTTGCTTCTGTCCTTGTACTTCTATTGTCTAGTTTTCAATAGTAAGTCAAGCTAATATAAATCAGACCATGTCAACTTTCTGTTCAGAACTCTCTAATTGCTTTTTGTCTCACTCAAGTAAAAGTCAAAGTTCCTGCAGGGCCTGGCTCTCTTGTCATCTCTCTTGCCCCATCTCTTGCTCTCTTGTGTACTCTACTGCAACCACTGTGGCCTCCTTGAAATTGTGATATCACATGGGGCATGCTCCTCCCTTAGGACCTCTGTACTTGTTTCCCCTGTCAAAAACACACCTTCCTCCCTCACCTCTTTGAATATTCATATGCAGCCTTCAGAGTGAGGGCTTCCTTGGATAACCCATCTAAAAATGCTCCTTCCTTGACAGTTCATTAGAACCTATCATAATATACTCTGTATTTCACTTATTTATTCTGTTTATCATTTGTCTTCCCACATAGAATGTAGACTTCTGGAAGACAGGATTGTTTTGTCTGTTTTGTTCTTTCATGTAAGCACAGCTCTATGAACAGTACCTGACATTTCACAGATGCTCAATAAATACTTGTAAAATGAACTCTCAATATCTATCTTTGAAGAGAAACTATAATACGGATAATGGAAAGTCAATGCAAAATAGAACAAAATTGCCCAGAAATCATAAGATTAAAAGTATAAAAATTCAAATTTTTACATCTTAAAACATTTTAAAAGAGATTTTACACAACCTTTAAAAATTAAAAATGTCTCATATGAAGTGAAATACTTCTTTTACTTTATGATATGTGCTCCCATTATATGGGGCTTGGAATAATAATGTTTAGAATCAGACTCACCTTTTGGCCCAAAGCAGCATGAATCTAACCAATCCTGAATAATTTTACCTTCTGATTGATGACAAATGAGCAATTTTAATTCAAAATTTAACTTAATAATCAAGTGCCAATGATATGCCTAGCAAGACAAATGCAGGACATGGATGGCCTTGTCACCCTTTATTAATATCAATTAGAAAATAGGTTAATATCCTTAGTGTTCTGGTATACTGAAGAACTTAGACATTTTTAAAAAAGAAAATGTAAGACACAGATGGTCCTGTCATAAATAAACACTTCTGAAGGTGAAACAAGATATTCTTAGAATAACCAGTGAATAAGAGGACATTTTTGTGTGTGTGTGAGACTGAGTCTTGCTCTGTTACCCAGGCTGGTGTACAGTGGCACAATGAATAAGAGAACTTTCTCTACTTAATAACTTGTCATCCTGATATATCTTATAGAACACTTGTTTAACAAAGGAATAGGTGATTATTCTGACAAAACAGATAACTATGTCATATATGATAGAAAACAGGATAATGTAATGCTAATACTTTTATAGACAATGATTTTAACACGAATATAGGCATGTCAAGTAGTACTTTAGATGGAGATGGCAGCTGGGTGTGGGAGCCAGAGGGCAAACAAAGCTATTGATATGAAAAGAGGAACTGAAAAGAACAAATTCATGAAAGAAACAGCATATTTAAAAGCAAGAGGGAAAAATACAAAATGTAGGACTCCAAATGGGCCACCCAATTCAGAATCAAATGTAGTTACTATAAAATAGGAACTCAGCAGTATACATCAGAAATTGTATAATAGCAATAATATTTATAGGATTCAAATAATATACACCTTCTCCTCCCCCATCCATCCATGGTTTACTGCTGAACTTGTTTAGCATTTGATTCCTGACATTACATGGTTATTATGTAAACGTTCTCTTCTACCTCCCGTCAAGTTGGTTTAAGTTCCTCAAGGACATGAACCAATTGTTCCTTGAACTGTCTTTATGGTACTAACTGAATAAATGAAGTACATTAAGATTTTACTACAAAGTCCTGGAAGTCAAGGAAAATATCCTGAAGTTCTCTAAGACACAGTTTCTTCATCTATACGATGAGGAGGTTGAAAAAGATGATATTCCAGGATTTTATGATACCTATGTGAATATCAATTAGAAAAAAGGTTAATATCCTTAGTATGCTGGCATACAAATGAACTTAAAGATCTTTTTTAAAAAGGATATATTTTGTTTCCAGAATAAGAAACATCTGTATGCTGAGGATGAACACAACGGGGAGAGTTTAAAATATTGGTGTGGAATTTTTATTGGGAACAGAAAACAAAAATCTCCATGAAACATGAGAGTACATCTCAGGGAGTATTTGGTAACTTTTAATCAAAACACATTTTATGTTTTGTTTATTTAGGAAAACCTCTTTTTTTAGTTCTTGACTTCAACAGCTGTTTTCAAAACAATAAACTTCTCTCTACCCATCTTAAAATGCCCTTGCAGTACATACTACCTAGTATATGTGTTTGTGTGTGTACTTTATTTATAATTACTCTAAGGAAAATCTTAGTTTAGAGATAGAATAATTCATTTCTTACTCTCTAAAAGTAGAAATTCCAAGGCATTTTTGATAAAGAAAACCAGAAATTTCTCTGAAAAGGCAACAGCAATTGTATTTCAAGTTTCCTGAGGGAGAAAAACTATATTTAAAATGTTATTGAAAAGGTCAGAGAAGAAGTTCACACCTCCAGGATGTCCTTTGTAAGACAAGACCCTTGGGACCTTAGTTTGAAGAGGTTATGGATCCCAAAAAGCTCTCCTTGATGCTCTTTTGATCCTTGAACTGCTTCAAAATATCGTTTGGCATTTTCACTTCCAACCACCACACAGTGAAGTTGCTAAAACAGAAAAAACACAAGATATTTTTGAAGCCTTTGCTCCAATAATATGTCAGAATTTCCTGGCATTCCCTGTATATACACAGCTTTAGCTGGAGCAGGCAGAATCTCCTTAGGGAGGAAATTTTGTTTTAATTTCCCTGGCAGATGTTGCCATTATGGTGAAATAATCATAATCCGGCCAGTCTTATTGAAGCAGAGATCTTAAATTTCCTATTTTATCTATTTTCTAACAACTGAGTCAAGATTACATCTCTATGGAATATCCACCTGACATAAATGTTTAATAATAAAAGCATACATTTGAATATACTTTTCTCCTTTTTAAACTCTTATTACAACAAGAACTACTAAAACTGGCAGAAGTAATTACTGTATCACTAAAGTTAAATTACAATCTAATGTAATGATATGATAACCACCTTGGTGTCAAACTATCTATGGGTTGACTACATTGCATTGTAACAGCAAAAATGCTATCACTGCCTTAAGAAACAATGCATCTTTGAAATAATTTTGAATATAGAAAGAACATTGACATGGAACATTTAAAAACACCATTTCAGTATTAACATTAATATGCACTCTCTATTTGCTGGATAGTTTACAAAATGTAATCAAAATATGTAAAATTAAAATACAATCTGATTAACCCCACGTGTACTTTAAAATTTCTTGAAAGAAACAAAGAATGCATAGAATGGAAAATAACTTCAGTCTATTCACGGGGGAATTACATGCTTAAGGAGAAATGATGCTTAAGGACTGGGTATAATGGGTCACCCCTATAATCCCAGCACTTTGGGAGGTGGAGGTAGAGGCAGGCAGATCACCTAATGTCAGGAGATAGAGACCAACCTGGCCAACATGGTGAAACCCCTTCTCTACTAAAAATACAAAAATTAGCTGGGCCAGGTGGTGGGCACCCGTAATTCCAGCTACTTGAGAGGCTGAGGCAGGAGAATCGCTTGAACCTGGGAGGTAGAGTCTGCAAGTGAGCTGAGATGGTGCCACTGCACTCCAGCCTGGTTGACAGAGCAAGACTCCGTCTCAAAAACAGAGAGAAAAGCTTAACTATTGAGATTATCATCAGAGTTCATTTGCACTGTAGTAAGTTACTCTAACAGCTGCCATTATTGAACATGTATTACATAAATAGCATTTTATTTCCATACTCTCATTTTATCCTTACAACCTTGTATCATCTCAATTTTAGAAATAAAAGAACTAAAATTTTTCTATTTTAAAAATAAAGTAACTTATATTTAGAGAAATTAAGGAACTTGCTCATAGCTGCCAGCTAAGATGTCTCACTCCTAGAATGTGTACCTTGGTTTGGCTGAATCTAAAATTTACTAATTACTATTTACTATTAACTAACCTCTCACTTTCAAAATGCCCGTCTTAAAACCCTTGGGACCTTCACATTGGGAAATATAAAAGAAGTTTTAAAGAACTTACAGATCAACATACCAACTTGATCAGTTTGATGCCAATGTTCCAGAAACATAGGCTGTAATCCTGGGAGCACAGAATTACAGTAACAATTGATACAAGAAATAGCCCAGATACCTGTTTTACCCTTGCTATCGAAACTAACTTATAAACACTCAAATTGTCAGACTGCAGGAACTCTAACTATAATCACCAAGGTCATGTGTAGCCTGAATCTGAGTCTTTATAAGCTTCCTAGCAAAGTTTTATCACAAAATTTATAAAAAGCACTTTATTTTGTACTTATTTGTTTTCCAAAGTGGCTCCAGTAAAAGTGGAAATCAGGTGTTTCCATCTGTAGGCTATTAGAAGAATCATGTTAGAATTCAAGAGGGTAGGGGAAAAATTAGTAATTAGAAAATGTAACTTAGTTTGTAGCTTAAGAAAAATCCATACAAAAAAGAAAAATGCCTGGATCTCATCCTAACAACAGACAAAATAAACAAAGAACATTTATGTTAACAAGTTCATGACTGTTCTTCCATCCTCAAGCCCAGTGGTGTGGCATCTTCGTATTTTTCTTTGACCCTTTGCTTCTTTACCATGGGTTATTAGGTAGTAGGGTCAGAGAAAGCAGAGATGAAGGAGTGTGCGCATCTGACCCTTATTTAAAAAATCCTTGTGATTACATTGGCCCACCTGGATAACCTAGGTGGCTTGGGGATTAGGAAGTCAGTATCTTTGGAAGACTATTATTCAGCCTACCACAGTAAAGAAGTGCAAAAAGAATGATCAGAGCAAGCAGAAATGACACAGAAACCACACTAATGGGTTCCCACCAGTCAAGTATGAGATAATACGAACATCAAAGTAAATAGTGATATTCACCGGGTTGTGATCTGTTACTAACATAGGAAGCCGTGAGACCACACAGATTAAATAAATACAAGGGAAAGCGCATTAATGGCAGAGTGCCAAAGAATAATCAAGAAGGATAATGGAAATAGAAAAATCACCACCTGACAACCATTATAGTGGTAGCTGATTCAGACAGGAATCACAAATGAACGCTAAGGCTGATGCATGCAGATTTGATGAGCAATGGAATGAGGAACCGGCAGTCTTAGAGGATCTTCCCATAAACTACTTATCAATTACAAAGAAAAAAATTGTAAATTTGCAGTGGAGAAACTCAGCCGACACAAACTTGACCTGTGATCAAGGTTAACGTGAGGAATAGTAAAGCAGGTCACTCTCCTGTGCTTTCTGACTGATGCAACGAAAAGAGCACAGTATCATGCCTGTAACATTTGGGCCAATACTGCTTGGCCTGAGTCCGGACATGAGGAAACATCAAATGGACCTAGACTGAAGGACATCCTACACAAAGAAAGGCCTTATTCTTTAAAATTGTCAAGGTCATGAAAGACAAAGAACGCCTGGGTAATTACTCCAGGATGAAGAAAACTGGAGACACAAGCAAATGGAGCCATGATCCTTCATTAAATCCTGGACCAGAAAGGAAAAAGAGACATTGCTAGGAGAGGTGGGGACATTGAATGGGTCCTGTGGATTATAGCACCATGTTTTGTCAATGTTAATTTCTTGATGTGAATAACTGCATTTTGGAGAGGAATGTGGGGGGCGGGGAAAGCCAGTTGCAGAACAGTATATACAACCGAGTGTTTAGAATGCATAAAACTTTTTAATGTATATATTAAGTAGGAGAGTATACTTCTATTGGGGAAATACACACTGGAAAATTTAGAGTGTTGGTAGGAGAGTGTTGCTTCTTTGGGGAAATACATACTGTGAGAAGTCTTAAATGGCTCAGAAAAAGAATAAAGATGATGGCTGAGAGAAAGAGAAAGCAAGTGTGTAAAATGTCAGCAAATAGGGAATCTGAGTGAAGCTAATTGGGGGTTCTTTGTGCTGTTCTTGTCATTCTTCTGCAAATACTTATAAAGTTTATACACACACACACACACACACACACACACCTGACCCGAGAGATGAATTTCTGAATGCCAAACTTTAGATTGCTTAAATGTTCCAAACCTGAAGAAGCACAGCTGTTGTATAAGTGATGTTCATATTTTTTAAATGTATAAAATATCTTGAATGCGTTATTACAACAAATGCAACAAAAGATATGAAAATAAAAGCCCTTGATGAAGGAACAATACAGGTCACTCCTTACTAGTCTAACCAGTGGTCTAATGTTTAGATGTATCCTTCTAGACATTTTTCAATGAAGTTAAAGTTATTTATACATACAGATGCTCATTAATTTATGATGGGGCTCTCTCTAAATAAACCCATTGTAAGTTGAAAATACCATTAGGTCTTAAGTTAGGATAGGCTTATCTGGATGTGGCCCCATTGTAAATAGAGGAGCATACTTCATACACAAATAGGTTATCACTTTAGCACCATCATAAACCTGAAAAAATATGAAGTTGAATCATGTCATAAATCAGGGACAGTCTATCACACAGAAATAGTTTTATGTATAAGCACATTAAAACACTGTATATATTGTTCTGCAAATTGCTTTTTGGACTCATTTAAAAATGCCTGACATCTTGCCACATCAGAACATTTGATCTGACTGCAATTTAATTTTACTGTCACAAAGTAATATAGGTATCAGAATTTATCATTCTGTCACTGTTGGATATTTAGGTTGTTGCCTTTGTTTTTAAACAAATGCAAGCAATGCTAAATAAAAACCCTTCACTGGGCATATGTGACAGGATTTCTGTCAAGTTAAGTATGGGGCCTCTACAATACCTATACTAGTTGTTTATCAACAATAGTATATGAGCATCTCTCCAATGCCCCAACCCTGCAAAAAACACCTCAAAATATAATTTTTAAAAAAGCATTTTGCAGAGTATTTTCTTTTATTTTTATTGCATTTTAGGTTTTGGCGGTACATGTAAAGAACTTGCAAGATTGTTGCATAGGTACACACATGGCAGTGTGATTTGCTGCCTCCCTCCCCATCACCTATATCTGGCATTTCTCCCCATGCTCTCTCTCCCCAACTCCCCCACCCCACTGTCCCTCCCCTAGGTCCCCCCTACAGACCCCAGTGTGTGATGCTCCCCTCCCTGTGTCCATGTGTTCTCATTGTTCAACACCCACCTATGAGTGAGAACATGCAGTGTTTGATTTTCTGTTCTTGTATCATTTTGCTGAGAATGATGGTTTCCAGGTTCATCCATGTCCCTCCAAAGGACACAAACTCATCGTTTTTTATGGCTGCATAGTATTCTATCATGTATATGTGCCACATTTTCCCTGTCCAGTCTATCGTCGATGGGCATTTGGGTTGGTTCCAGGTCTTTGCTATTGTAAACAGTGCTGCAATGAACATTTGTGTGCATGTGTCCTTATAGTAGAACGATTTATAATCCTTTGGATATATACCAGGTAATGGGATTGCTGGGTCAAATGGAATTTCTGTCTAGGTCCTTGAGGAATTGCTACACTGTCTTCCACAATGGTTGAACTAATTTACACTCCCACCAACATGTAAAAGTGTTCCTATTTCTCCACAT